GTCTTAGTTTTCCAAAGTTGCAAACCTATTTAAATTTTCAACATGATACTGCTCCTTATCCTCTACTTTGCTTAATTTCTTAAGATTGAACTGCTCCATATGAAATCTGTGCGCTGTCTGTTTACTCACTGCCAGTCTCTCCTTAACTTTTGCCACAACCAGATAGTGGTCAGTATCACAATCTGCTGCCCTGAGAGATCCGACATCACGTATACTTGAGTGCCGTCTCCTAGCTATCAAAATATGGTCAATTTGATTGTATGTCTTCCCATCAGGAGATATTCTAGTAAATTTATGGATGTTATGATGTGCGAACATTGTGCTTTTGACTGTAAGATTTTTTGATGTGGCAAAGTTTACTACTCTAACTCCATTATCATTACTAATTTTGTACAAACTCTCATTCACAATCATTGTTTTGAAAACATCTTCCCTACCTACTTTGGCTTTGAAATCTCCTAACAACTTGCTTTATATGTACATCTCCTAAAAACTATTAGTGGCATATTTTAAAATGAAAATAGAACATATTTGATATACAAATTATATTAAAGACTGAAACAAAGACCTATGTTTTATTTTGAATCTATGAAAGATATCTGCATTTGTTAGATTTCTTCCAATAATTCCACCCCCATATTTCCACTCTCCCATGGTTTTCATGGTGCGATGATTAATTAATTATGCACAGGAATGACATCACCTTTCTTACCTTTTTATAACATCACATACAGCTGTGTTGTCATGACCATTATATACCATACTGATTATATTAATGTGTTTAAATGCACTGATATGACAATCCAAAAGATCAGAGTGCATCTGAACACAACATAACATTGCTTTACAAGAGGAGTACAGCCTCATTCCAACAAAAAATATGTCTGATGTACTAGGCTATAACATTATCATTTTCATAAACAACAGTGAAAGCTGCATTAAGTGTGTCACATTGAAAAGGTCTTTAATATCTGCTGACGATTAGAAGGCAAACCTGAGATGGGAACATAAGATATATTGAATCTGTTCATGAAAAGGACCTTGTGAGCACAAGTTTATCAATAATTCACACTCATATACAACACAACCTCAATCATCTAATGAAGAATATATTATGTAATTGTCATCTCAGGTTTGGCAAACAATATTCTCAACTATCACTAACATGGCAGTATGGAAAGAAGGCATAGGTACAAGAGGAGAATTCTACAAGGGTTGCTAGCTGACACATCTTGTTTGGTTCATTGTTCGTTCACAGTAACATAAGAGTGCAATACAGCAATAATGAAACTTGGCATATCATGCATGTGTATTCAGGAGTAACACTGTAATATCTTTAAAAAGAACCCCAAGGGTACCAAGAAATTTCACAAATACTGTAAACCAGCAATTCCCATATCATTTCAAGAAACACTTCCTTCAAGAATCAGAATATACAATCCCTACCTAATTCACATTTCTCCCAAAACATTCTCCTAACTGTCCTTGTATCATACCAGACACCTTCCTGATAATGACCCACCCCCGAACCAGATAGACCTTTACATATCCTGAATGGTAACTTTTATCTTCTGTGACCTATGATCCCACTTCTATATAAACAGTAATTTTTCAAACTTCATTAATAACTACCTTGCTTATGGAAATAGCATGTTCCCCTGAAATGTTGTCACTCATTTAGCAGACTTCTTCATGCCACAACCCAGAAGACCATAACATGAATCCTCACATCTGTTTCACAAATCATTTTCCTTCGAGAAAACAGAAGAATGCTATCAAATAATACTACAGAAGTAAATAATAACAGTCCATCTCATTGTTGCACTTCAGAAGTATCCACAAAACAATACTGGTGTGCTCTTTGTTTCTGGAGAAACCCCTGAAATATTTAATATATGCCCAAAAGTTTTGTGAATGACAGTATGGAAACCATTGCCTCAAGCGAGTACCCTGTAATCCATACTTGAGATATGACAACAAGTGCAAACTTTATGATTATTCTGAGTGAAAGTCAAAGTGGATTACTTTACACACATTTAACCCTTGTTACAATATTACCACTCACACGATTTCTCTGTATACAACCATCTTCAACTCATTCCTTGGCAGCAGTTGACAATTATACAGTTTGTGGCTAATCAAAGTTGTATTCTTCTTCCAACAATGAATGTTAATTTTATTTTTTTCAAAAGATATTTAATTATAAGTAACACATATAAAGGAAATAAATGTGACAACTATAAGCTATAAAAAACAAACAACAACCAAATGTGTGAAATTAATTTTCAACCATTCTCTGCCTAATACTGATTAGTTTGTAGTATCTACTTTTAATCTCGTGAGATATGCTTCTAATCTTCTTTCAATATACACCACTATGTACAGAGTCTCTCTGCTAGATGTGTTTGTGGTAACATCAACATGAATTCTGACTCACTAACATTTTTAACTTTTTTAATGATGTCAATTCAAATAAACCTTCTTTCTTGAATAAAAACTCTATTTGCTCTATCTGGTTCATCTGGACCCTATTCTTGGCTTATTAGGAGCTTCTATTGCACTGTACTGTATTATTTGTATATTTCAAATGAAAATATAGAAACAGTCACCTGATACAAGTAGGAAAAAACTATGAAAAATTAGTTCTTTACTAAACTAAATGGACTGCTTCCCTCTCTTTTTCTGACACTCACTCTATTTAAATTTTCTTACTTCACAAACTCAAAGAATTGGACACATGACAGAAGGTGGCAACAACACCTCAAACATGCGCACACATGCATTCACAGCTGACAACCCCAATGCCCACACTATTCTCATCAATCAGGCAAAGAAAACTGTCTTCAAAACTTGTTAGTCTGATCAGATTATCCAATGCTAAACCGAAAATCAAAATAAGTTCTTAGATTTTCTTCTAAAGAGGATGTTCATTCCTTGGCTGATTAAAGAATACTTTATCAAGTTGTATAGCATCAAATGGCAGAGATTAAGAATGATGAATTAAGAATAACATAGAGGAAAGTAGTCACCATCAATTTTTGATCCAAGCAACTGTGTGGCAGGAATAAGGAAATACATGGAAACTTCAATCATGGAAGCCAAACCCCAGGCCTAGACTATTTATTAAAATCTGGACATCACAATTAGAAGCATGAATAAAAACATCAGTAACAGTACCACAATGAAGAGAAGACAGACTATTGTGAGAACAAATTTCTGAGAAGAATAAATAAGCACAAGAGAAACAAACAGGAGAATGGAGAAAATTTTATAATCACAAGCTTAGAAATCTGCATTCTTCACCAAAGATTATCATTATTTATCAGTATTATAACAATAAATTCAATGAGAGTGAAATGGAATGGAAACTTTGCTCGTGTTGTTGAAAAGATTTTTCTTCAATATTCAATCCCATTCCATGAAGAGCTGAAACAAGGTGGCCTAAAGGTGTTTCATACAGGTTTCAGCATTTGATGTGTCACCCAGGAACACTGGTCTGAAAATACCACCAGATAAATGTGTGCCACATGATGCATTTTTGAGGATGAAAAACTCTCAATGACTGTGTGTATTGTGCTACTTTGTCAGACAACGCCTCAGTAAACACGTTAATGCATGTGTGATGACACCACACAATAGCAGAGAAAAGGTGTTTTCTTTGTAGTCTGCACCACGAAACAATAGAGGGGCTTTGCTTTCTGTGCATGGTCCACGCCGAGAGGATATAAGAAAAAACAGGAATGGGAATTCACCTCACTTGAGTTCCGAAGTTCCAACGGAACTCCAGTGTGGCCAGAAGAAGAATTAGAAGACCTAGCATATGACGTTACATGTGCTGTGGTACAACGATATTGGGAGCATGTGATTAACCATAAAGGTTAGAACTAGATGGTAAAGGTAAAGCTATCCCCGTAGCAGGTCATGAAGGCTCATATAGTTGTGACATATCAATGTTCCACATTTTCTAGACAATCAGCTCACAGATGGAGGTGAGGTTGTTGGCCTTAGGCACTGGCCACGCTTTATCCCCCAGGAATATTCCTGGTACTCATTTCTGTTAGAAGCTGGGTTGACCCCAGGGCCACAGTGCAGCTGGAAAGGGTTAGGTCAACTGAAAAATCCAATGACCTTATCAGGATTTAAACCCACGACCTTCCGGCTAGTAGAACAGTGCCTCAATAAAACTTGATGAAATAAATAAAATAATGGTTAAAAGTATAAGTATAATATTGTCAATCGATGGTAGACTGTTGTTGTGTGGTACCATCTTCAGCATATGTTTCATAGTAGTACATGCTTGTTGTCATAGCTTTCATTCACAGAATCAGTGCAGACATTTGAGAGAGACTGTTTCTCTCAAGCCTCCACATGGATGATACCCAGTAACCTCTATTAAAAGGATATTCCACTATGAAACATACAGTGAACATGGCATAAGCAATAATCCACCATTAACAACATACCTGTATTTGAAATAAGGCAACAGCTTGAAATTTTGATGTCTGTGAAGTTTAGGTACCAAAATCAAAATTTACACTAAAGTAAATAAGGAAGAGAAAAAGATGAAATTTGGTAATTTTTAATTTATAGTTCTTGCAACCCCCACCTTACAGACTGAAATCCCAGACCTTCCTCCTTCTTTAGATTACCCTATAATGTACATGACATTTCCATTAAGCCAGCCCCTCTCGTCCAAGCAAAGGGCCACCACTGTACTTAATCACCCTATGTTATTCAAAGATATTCCGGCTAACAGTCTATGAACACCACCGTTAGACCATATAATAAGTCAGCTGAATTCAGAATTCAACCAGCTTGAACCTTCCTCAGTATTGAGTTTTGTATTCCTGCTGTAATTGCACCCTCAAGAGCCAACAATCATTCATACACCAGTACAATGTGATTTGCCAAGTTTCAGCTATAAACTACCATCAACAGCAAACTTAAGCACACAGACAATACAGTGCAAATGCATACCAAATGTAAAATTGCAATCCTACCTTGTGCTGCTGCTGCTGATGGTCCTGTATTGGTCAATATATCACCATGTTGCCATGTTGTAGCACCTATCAAACATGTGATAAGACTTTAGTTTAGAAAGAAAAGAGAAGAAACTAAACGAACTATATGGCATAAAATGAAGATAGCTTGAAAATAAACATGGTGCTTGGAGGGTTACATCATTGGTTCCCAGACTTCTATCACTCCAACAATCCACCTCCAAAAATGCATGAATCATCTAAATTGTTTGTTCCAGAAAGTCTGCCTACTATGTGTATAATTCATTCCTTTCAGGCATTCACTTCAACTATCCCATAATCACACAGCTAAAATTTTACAGTCATTCACAAATTTCTTTCCTTATGGAAGGAAAATGTACATCCCAATTACACAGCAATAACAACAAATTTTTTCTTGACCACACACAAAATATTTGCCAATGAATACTGTTTCAGGAGAACTCCTTGGAACAACCTGCATCAGCACAAGGACATCAGGAACCACATTTGAGAAATGCTAGGCTAGAGACTGTTCCTATATTTTGAAGCAAAGCAGCATAAGTCTACACAACACTAGCAGTCCACATGACTTCAGCACAGTCAATTCAAAATGGATGTTTACACAGGGGAAGCATTACTCACCCGTGTTGTCTCTGAACTCTGCAGGACTGGGAGGTGGAGTCTTAGACACCTTAGGTGACAGAAGTTCTGGAACAGAGATGACCATTTCTGAGTCAAACTATTCAGAACTGGTGATCAGGTTTATAAATATACAATTCAGTCTCTAGTACTGAAACGTAAATATTCAGTTTTGTACGTATATATTGTCTTGAATGCAATATTAACTTTCTTCATTTAAGATGGTAATATATATGTATAAAAAGGTAATATTATGCAACAGACTGCTCAAGTACAACACTGTAAATATTCAGCACTGCTTACATATAAGACCACTATTAAACATAACCTGAGGCATGTCAATTCAATCTTCATAATCACTATGTTTCAAAGTGGCCATTTCAACATCATACTCCCTTCTATATATCTCAAGCCTTCAAATATTAACTTTCCAAATATCTGTATACACTTAATGTTTCCCCCATCCAAGAAATTTCTATATACAGTCCCTTATCACTGAATAAGCTACCCTAAGTTACAAAATAAACGTAAACTAGGTAACGAAGAAAATTATGTAGTAAGGAACTTGACATTCACAGATCTAAATATTGCCTTGTGAACTCCAAAAATACTGTTGCAAGTAGACCCATTGCTAGGCAACAACCACAAATGAAGCAGCTATACAACAGCCATTACTGAGCAACAGCTTTGCAAACAAGCATGTTTGCATGGCAACAATTGGAAAGAGCAACAGAGGAACAGTCTTTTCTGTGCAGTCCATGCTGAGAACAGATAGTGAGAGTCTGTTATTCAAGTGCCTAGACTGCCGTTGTAGTGGAAGCTACTAGAAATAGAGCATAATCTGCTGTACTGAGTCTGGACTGACAGAGGCCCTGTATATATTTTATATACACTTATTAACATGTTTAATATCATTTACATTATGACAAATGACTTACTACTGCAGACAATGACTGATTAAAGACAGACCCATCCTCTCCTCAAAGAGGGCACCCCACACTAACAAGGCTCTAACTGTCAAACAGTAATAAATATCTGGTCATGAGCCCCAGTTTGGGCTCAGCACCATGACTGACTGACTGACCATTAGTCACAATGTTACTTTTGACTTTGACTTTGACACTCAGTTAGATGAAAGTCGACAGTTGGAGCAATGGGTTAGTTGTGGGATAGTTGCCAGCTGGTAAGAACGTGAGCATGGAAGGAGAAGACTTTGCTGCAATCCATCGCCAGGCAATGACTGGTGAAGGTATAGCAAACTGAGAAGACTTTACATGTGTACTGTAGTTATAGTGATCTCTGGAGTGTGTAACTCAGTGAGAATGTCATAGTTATTTGTGGTTACGTTCTGTAAGTGCTCAATACATTTGACTACCAATCCAAAACGTAACTATAGTCAATCTAAAATAGTGAAAATACATTTAATTTATGTTCTCTAATAATAAGAGACAGTTTCACAACGTTAAAAACATTGTGAAAATTAATTGCCTTATGTGTTGTAACATTTATTGGTTTGGCAAGTAGAAGAGATAACAGGCCAGGAACTCGGCCATTACAAGATGTAACAACAAATGATAAGTAAAAATACTGAATAGAGTATGGCAAAATGCTAAATAATGAGCAAATTCTCATAGATAATTATAATCAATCTTAGTAATGAATTTTGGAATGAAGTATTTGATAATAATGAAGTGAACTCTGTGTTCAATGCGTTCTTAAACATTTTCTTAAGATACTTTTGTAATAGTTTTCCCAAATGTCTTAATAGACCCCATACTAATACTAAAGTATAGATATCATCTAGTATAAAAACTAAATGTAGCATAAAAAGACATTTGTATTTAAGCTGTAAGGAGAGTAATAACCCTAATATACAAAGTTACTATAAGCTATTCTGTAAAGATTTATCTAGAAATATTATAGAAGCCAAACGTTCATATTATGATAAACTAATTATAAACTCCAATAATAGAACTAAAACCACTTGGAATATTGTTAAATCATTGACCGGGAGGAAACCCTATCATGAAATTATACCGAACTTGAGTGCTCCTGATAGATCATATATCAATATTAAAATGATTGCTGAATCCTTCAATAAATATTTTTTATCAATAGCGGAGACAATTACCAAAAGTACACTAAAAAATGTGATATATTTGACATATGTAATACGGCTAATGGATATTTAACTGATATTTACAACCACTTTCCCTCCGATTAATTATAGTTACGTTACAACAAATGAAATTGAAACAATTATAGACAAATTGAAAACGACCAATTCTACTGGGTATGATGAGATCCCTATCAAAGTATTAAAAAGTTGTAAACACTTTATTACCTCATCCTTAACATACATAATAAATAGATCATTAGATACTGGTATATTTCCTGATAGGCTAAAATTCTCCAAGATAAAACCTATATATAAAAATGGTGGTAAAAATCTTATCAATAATTATAGGCCTATATCCTTATTGACTTCCTTTTCAAAGATATTTCAGAGAGTTGTGTTTGTAAGACTTTGTCATCATTTGACTATCAACAATGTTTTAGCCAATAAAGAGTTTGGATTTCGAATGAATCTTTCCAATGAAAAAGGCCATTAATAGATTGCTTGACCTGACCTTAACTGACCTAAATGCTGGCCATAATATGGGTGGAATATTTTGTGATTTGAAACAGGCCACTGATTGTGTCAATCACAAGATTTTATTATCTAAGTTGGAATTCTATGGTATTATGGGTCCGATGCATAAATGGATTGCATCTTATCTTAAAGGAAGGTTTCAGAGAATTAAATTACAAGGTAATGATAGTAACCTAAATATCTATTCAAATTGGGGCTTAATATCCCATGGTGTCCCGCAGGGATCCACTTTGGGTATCCTGTTATTCTTGATCTATATTAATGATTTGCCTCTAGTATTAAATAGGATTTCCTATCCTATCCTCTTTGCTGATGATACTAGTGTGATTATATCCAATCCAGATCCTCTAATTTTCCTGCATAGTGTGAGCGAAGTTCTCAATAAATTAAAATTATGGTTTAATGCTAATTTATTGTTTTTAAACTTTTCTAAAACTGAATTTGTCAAGTTTAATACAAAAAAAATATGCATGAACATGAGATAAAGATAGTGTATGATAACATGGAAATACCCACCTCAACCCGTTTAAAGTTCTTAGGGGTTAATATTGCAAATACTCTGACTTGGAAAACTCATATTGACTCACTTATCCCAAAACTTAGCTCTCTGTGCTATGTAATCCGAGTCATAGAACCGTTTGTGAATTAGGAAACTTTGCTGATGGTTTATTATGCCTATTTTCACTATATTATTCGATATGGTATTGTAACGTGTTTCATTACTGGATACGCCGTAGAGATCGTTAATTGGTTGATTCAACAATCTACAAGTAACGGCTACAATTAATTATAACACAGTTGCGGGGTTTCACACTTTATAACCCTAATCGCATTAATCTGTTAACACTGTTGCGGGGTTTCACGATTTCTAACCCTATGCGCAAATCAGTTCACTCTGTCTTCAGTAGTCTACACGTTTCCAGTTGGGGAGCTAGGTATCACTGTATCACACACTCCCAATTACACAATTATACACACGTCCGGTTCTTCTTTCCGCGACGGCTGCCATACTCCAACTGTAGTCGGCTGACTGGAGAACTGTTGATAACACACTCGCTCGACTACTACTGAACTCAGCGACTGCTGCTATATGTCAACTCGACTCGGCGACTGTTACGTTACAACTGCCTCGCAGCCGCTGTGCAGCTCATTTATATAGCTGCAGTGCTTGCCTGTTGCATAATGAGTGCCACGTCATCCTGTTACGTCACCGCTGTTGACTCGCGTTGCATAGCTACCAGGTTGCGGGGGCTCGGCTAACTTCGGCTCCGCTCAGCTCACTTTGGCTCCGCTCGTGACGTCACCATGGGGAGAGTGCCGGGTGATGACTCGCCTATTACACGAGCGCTACGTTACCGCCACGTGCCACTGGGGAGGTAGGGGTCCTTCGTTGCGCAACATGTCACAGTATTATTTTAGGGGTAACCCTTCGTATGCTATCAATGTCTTTCATTTGCAAAAGAGGGCGGTGAGACTAATAACTGGTGCTGGTAACAGAAACTCATGTAAAACTATATTCACTACTCTAAAAATTCTTACTCTTTCATCTTTGTATATTTATTCAATACTATCTTTTGTGGTCGATAGCATGGATAAATATTATTTTGTATCTGATATACATAATAGAGACACTAGACAGGTATTCAACCTAAATCTATATCAACCCTAGACTCATTTATCATTTTCTCAAAAAGGCTCATATTATATGGTCATTAAACTATTCAATTGTCTCCCACAAAATTTGAAGCAATTATATAAAGATATTAAACGGTTTAAATTAAAATTAAAAGAATTCTTGGGTTCTCACCCATTTTATACTGCGGATGAATTTTTTGTATATACTAATTGGTAAGATTAATGAAAATGAAAAAAGAGCTTGTACTGACGCCTGAAACCTTTGAGAGTTCTATGTCTTGGTTTCACATTGTTTTTGTAAACTGGGGGAGTTCTGAAGAAAGCAGTCTTCTGGGATTTGGCACCGTGTATAAGTGGTGTTAACACCACTTATACACGGTGCCAAATCCCAGAAGACTGCTTTCTTNTATTAACATCTACCTCAGTGTCTGAGTTTTCCAAAGCTGTGAACCTATTTCAGATTTCAACACGATACTGCTCCTTACCCTCTACTTCGTTTTATTTNGGTGACTATCAAGCCAGCATCATGAAGCTACCTATTGTGACATGTTGCGCAAAGGAGAACCCCCCCCCACCAGCAGTGACGCGGCGGGTGAGTCAGCGCTCCCCTCCCCCTCCTCCGCACGGCAACGTAACGGTGACGCAACAGGATTGTTACGGTAGTAACAGCGGTTACTACCGCTAGCGTTACTAGCAACACAGCGCCAGGCAACAAGGGTGCCTATTACGTGGCCGTTTCCGCATTGTCCGATCAAGGCTACATAAGGAGCAGCGAAGGCTA